CATCCATGTAAAGGAGGTGAGTAAAGAGATGTTGGGGATCCGTGCCGAGTAGGTCCAGGATGATAACCTTCCCCTTTGCTGAGCAAAAGTATTAAATGATTTAGTGACAAACAGAAAAGCAAAGGACCAAAACATCACCCTGAAATATTCCTCTTCTAACAGAAATGGGTTCCCAAGTCACCACTTGCCCCTGCTAATACATCTCAAGTTGAGTTGACCAGCAATTCATTAAAGACAAATTGAATACATTCCAGTTAATGTCATGCAAAGAACAGTCCTGAGAGTGAAAGAAATAATGTCATTTAATTTAATATCAAGTTGATTCTGTGTAAATGATTGGTTAAATTGTTTAACTTGCCTCCGTTTCACAATCATTAAATCAAGGATTTGATTATCAAATATGACATAAACAAAATATACAAGGGATCATCAGAACGATCATTGATAGAGGGGATATCGGAATCGGGAGAGAACTCAAAATCGTCGAGGCCGACATCAGGGATTTCATTTTGTGAGTCCATGAGTAGATCATCAGTAACAACTGCCTCAGGAAACGTAGGGAGAATAATGCGAATGTTCATTTGCAATTCCGGATCTGCTACTGTTGGAACTGAGGGTTCCTGACGCGTGTTGGCAGTCAGCTCACCTAGCTCACGGCGTATGTATCGCGTCAGTATATCAAAATACATAACACTTGGATCTCTGTGAAAGCTGAGTCGGTTGAGACAACTGTTCATCAACTCGATTCACCAGTTCAATGATGACATGTCTCGGGAATCAATATTTCATCTAAAACATCTAATGCCCGACTTCTTTCCTAGAAAACACGTTCTCTCCTGATACTATTTCTGTTTATAATTTCTAAAAGGAATGCATGTGTCGCCAAGAATGTTTGAATTTGCGAGGTCGTAACTACATTAGGAGAGCCCTGGGACTGTCGTAGATTTAGAGTGATTTTACAATGGAGTGAAACTAAGAGGTCTTTGTGAAACGGCCTTAAAAGTTATGACATGGTTAACGACATGGTAAACGACATGGTTTAGGAGGTCGTAGCGCTAAGAGGCTTTCGTGAAACGGCACCCTGGTCTCGAATATTCTGCTCTGTCAGGTATGCATACATTAGCATGGCTTTGTCCCATTGCTGCTTCAGTAATTTGACTTTTGTTTGCGGTGTGTCTGGCCATCCTGTTGCTTTTGCACACTCAAGAAGTGTGATCTTGAGCTGGTTCATCCAAGGTATTCTTAGGTGGGTTTTACCTGGAATATTGCTGATTGCGGCGTTAAACAACAAATAAACAAATCATGGCGAGGACTGTACCTTCACGAACTGCGATCGGTCATTTCAAGCTGCAGGATCTTCCCTTTGGAACTAACTTCCACTTGGTGTAAGATCAGCTTTAGAGCTTTGTACTTTCAAATCCAGATTGAAGACATATCTATGCAATGAAGCCTTCAACATGTCCACATATGTGTTTTTTCAGATAGGTTCGGACTCGACGGTTAGTATATATATATATATAAAACATCGGGATATCAATCAAATTGGCGTCGTTATTGCTACTCCAAACTTTCGTGCTAGACAAATAATCAGATTCTTCAGAAAACATAAATTCCTTTTTATTTTATATTAGAAAACCTTTATACACAATAGTTCATAAAATGAATTGTATAATTGTAATTCTGAGTGTATAACTTATATTAAGGTATAGTAACTAAGAAGATTAACACAGAATTAAAACATAAAACATCAGTTAAAAAAACAACTATGTGGAGATATGTTTCGCATATTGAGGGTATACCAGGATGGCAGTCATAATAACCTGTGCATGGATTCACACACAAGTAAACTGCCAGGCAAAAGAAAGTGTACACCCATGGTGGTGTCTTAAAATGAAACAAACAAGAATTGGTTATTCGATCGTTATGTATTTGATACGGGTATACATTTTCCGTGTTTCGGCGACGTTTTCAGACCTGTAACAGTTTGATAGCTGTTTGGTCAAATCGAATTTTAAAGTCTATACTTTTACCCGGCAGTTTAGACAAAACAGAATTAGGAAGACATGCATACAGAATATTAAACACCGGCGTTTCATTTTGAACCGACATGATTACATACCTGTAATTTACCTTAAGACACTGCTTCTATCTATATTCAAATAGCTATGTCACGACAACAATGTTTCAAGCGAAGACAATAACGTCATCATACAATGGATGGCGTATTGATGCAATGGATAACGTCAGGATACAATGGATGGCGTTATGATACAATATTGCATTTTGACTGCAGCGGGTGACCTCGCCTAGGTGAACACAACCAAGCTGACAGTCGTTCATTTCCCGATGAACGTCAGTATGTCACGTGATTACGTTGTCAGTCGAGCGGAGACATACAAACTACTTTTGAGGAAGTTCTCATTGTATAAAGTAACATTAAAAAATCATTGGGGAAAACTGAGAGCGACATCGAATCAGGCAATGAATGATGCAGGTTCCGAAGCCTTGTTAAATCATGGGATATCACTCCAAATGGAATGTTTTAGACGGATGAAGTCACGACGTCACGACTCTCCGCGTTGATATAAACAGTTTAGTTCGTTTTAAATAATTGAGTTTGATGTTTAATGGATTGTTTTGTTTTCATTCATGTATCTGTCAATATAAGGATTGAAGTTGTATTTGTTGACGTTCATCAGCTGATGAAGACAGTGCCTCACGTGAGCAAATTTACAATGAAGTGCTTAAATGATGACGTCATTTTATAAATTGATGGCGTCACAAGGTTTCGAACTGCGAAGTACATGTAAAATCAGACAGTGTCACGTTTTTAACTAAATTTGAAAATATATGACTGTATATAGTCCATATATGTTTGGGTACTATATCAATATGACTTATCATGCCTAGGTACTGTGTGTATCAGTATTCTGCATGTCACTTAGGCACGGCTACAAATAGACTACAGTGTTAAATGCAATTATTAGTACAGTTTACTGATGAGCACCTTTAGCTTCGCCACATCTGATTATAGTATAATATAAGATATCTACGCGATGAATCGCAAAATACAATGAATAGCGTGGTTTATTTCACTATAAAACATTGTTCTATCATGACGTCATGTCTGGAGATTTGAGTGAGTTGGGTTTAACGCCGCTTTTAGCAGTATTCAAGTTATATCACACCGTGTCAGCTTAATTTGGGAGGAAAGCCCGAGGTGATGCAGGTCTTAGACGTTTACCACTTTGGTGAAACCGGCGAGCACGGGTATGGTGCTGACAAACCTAGAAACATAATCGGGGTGAACCGGGATTCGAACCCACAATCATAGGTTTCTGGCATGTCCAAGGGACGCAACTCTGCACAGCGAATTACGGCGCCTTAGACGACTGGGCCACCTGTGCCCCACTCTGGAGATTTGAACATGCGCTTGCAACTTGATGACGTCGTAAATTGGCAGACGTTATATATTATTGAGAGGGAAGAGTCTGGAGTGAGTTTTCCCCATAGATGTAGCTGGACAACGCAGATGAACGCAATGACTGAACGATAGCATCTCAAATTGGGAGAGATATGACAATCGGTATTTGGAGAAAATGTGCAGATAATCAACGTGAAAAGTGTGGAAATACCATCATTATTTATATACGGGTGAATGTTTTAAAATCTTGTACAATTTATTGACATCCTTGGAAAGGTTTACACAATATTGATATTTCATATAAGAAATAAATATTGTAACTCGGCTCGATTGTTGAGCCACCAGTGGCTATTACGAGTTATGTCCCTGCTATGTCCCTCTTATTGGCCTATCAGATTCAACCTCTCATATCACTTGCAGTTGATTCAAACAGAGTGGCGGTGACCAGTCAAGACGATATGATCGATAATCAAGATCATTATTGTAATAAAACGAGTGCATCAAATCACGCAAGCACCCTGATTAAAATCATGAAAAGATTTGGAAAATATCTATTGATGCTAAGTTGACGGTACACATGCTTTGCAAATCCTACAACGAACGAAAACTACACGGCAGTTTACGAACCGGATTTCGATTTCGTTACGCGATTTTGATTGGACCATGCATAGAATCGTTTGTCCAGCCAAAACATAACTCCAAAATTCCGGCTTAGTTCGGCAAGGGTTGAAACTGGGCTGTCATAATCACTTAACTGCCTAACCTTGGGAAAATGGGTGTTTCCGAAAAAAGGTGAGCGTATCCTATCTGACCGGTGGCACCCGTCCCAAACACATGTAACGGAAAGTCAATTGTTCACCTGAAAAAAACCACGGGAAAGTTTGGTACAAGTAAAATAGGGAATTGCATCGGACATCAGATTTTATCTGAGATGCGTCAAATTTGGAAGTGGCTTCCACATGTCTACCATGAAGCGTTTTGAAAGCTTTTCTGAGGCCTTGAATGTTGTAACCTACATCAAACAATTTCTGAGCCAGAGCCGGATGATGCTCTTTAAAATTTTCGAAGAAAGAGCCTGCCCGATTGTACCTCAAAAGTTTTAAAACGTAAACATCAAAAGCAAAAGCTGCAGGAATATTGCTCGACATTAAGGGAAAGTTGACAATTTGAAAGTTGAAGCCATTCCTCTTGTCATGTGGAGAGTCTTTTGTCACTCTGAATCTTTTTGCACAGACCTAAATATGAAACAGTTTCTTGTTCTTGATAAATGGAAGGGAATTGGCAACTTTTATGGTTATTGAACGATAGCAAAAAGCTGAAGTTAAACTTCTTGGCCAAATTAACTTGTTTTGCAGAAAATCCGATTCACATGGATAGCGTTGGATATGGCGTTGACGTTGTATATTACACTTCAGCTCCATAGCCATTTACAATTGACAGGTTCAATCTGCCTATATGAACTGTTGAAATAGTTTTACTGTACATACCAGCTAGAAACAGCAGAGTAAAAACATGTAACGTTCATGTTAAGAAAACCTATGCAGTGGTTGGAATGGTCATTCCAAGCGGTCAAGCGGTCAACAGAAGTTGGACAAGCAGGCACAATAGATGTATACATTAAATTGCAACTTGGAACCTTTGAGCTGATAGTTTAGGATCCAAGTGTGAATTTGAGTGCTCAATTTTTAACTCAATACACTTGTTATTTTGTTTAATTGTCTACCGCCATCATCGTCATTTTCTTATGATTATGAAGATTCCTGGTATATATCTTATAAAGTACGCCAACATAAGTCAATCAGAGCGCTGTAATCACGACATCGTCTTCTTTCTGCTTCTGTAAGACATTTCCGTTTTCCGTTTCTTCTGTCTGAGAGAAAAAGAGAGATATGTCATAACATTTTTTTCGAGGTGCTTTATTACAAATACCAATATGACTGAGTGAGTCAGTGAGTGAGCGATACATTTCTAAAGAAAACGTAAAGCATACTGAAGTCCTATAAAGACGTCTGGACCTATTTTCCTTTTGCATACAACATACTTTTATTTCAATAAAAAATATCCTTGTGTATAGTTTATGTCAAAGGTCACATTATTTCTATAATCACATCCCACCCTTCTCGTAGCCTACATGTAACCATTTATGACAATATTAGATGAAAAAGTAGTCCCAGCTGAGATCAGAACGTGTCCGCAACATGTAGAATTCATGTTAGAGCATCTAAGTTTTTTTATATTAAACGAAAATATGACCATTTTTGTAAAAAAACATAATTACAAACGGCCTTAGGACTATTCCAGTTTGTATCACTGTCACCATGTTTCTGAACTCAAAGTAATCACACTCAAGCCTGGACAAGGCAAACAAATGACTGAACATATTGTGTCCCGAAATTAATCATGCCACCAAGCTTGACCACCTGACCCCCGTTCTTGTTTCTGTGACAAATATGGCATATCATGAAGCTTATCCGACCCAGAATAAGGGTTTTGTTTTATGAAATATGATACAATGGCACATCTATTTCAAAATATACTACTCAAAAGAAGTTAAGGATCACCCGGTTCTTTCATAATGGTAAAGTTAAAATGTCATGATATGAGAGATTAACTATAATAATATGAAAGAATCAGGTGATCCTTAACTTCTTTTGAGTAGTATAATATCCTTTAGTCCTTGGTCCCTGTTTTTGCATACAATTTGTTTCTTCATAACTGATCCCGAGAACTTTTTCATTGCATCCAGCATATTTGCAGCTTGAGCAAGAAAATCTGCAAAACCTGACTTGAAATTTGTTAGGTCTCTTTCAGAACAAAATATTAGATACTAATTTAAGAAACACTTCATGATACACACCTTCTCGGATTTGTCATGGCTGTTGCTCCTCCACAATGGTCGAACAAACGGAAACAAGAACCTCTCATCTTCGATGCGTGGATACATCCTGCCTGGAATAGTAATAGAAACAGTGAGTGAGTGAGTCTGGTTCAACGCCGATTTGAACAGTATTTCAGTTATATTACGCCGTATCAGCTTAATGTGAGAGGACGGCCCGAAGTGTGGCAGGCCTCACAGGTTTACCACTTTGGTGAAAGCAACGAGCACGGGTATGGTGCTGACAAACCTTGAAACGTAATCGGGGCGAATCGGGATTCGAACCCACAATCAAAGGTTTCCGGGGTGCCTAAGAAACGCAACTCTGCACTGCGAATTGCGATGCCTTAGACGTCAGGGCCATCCGTGCCACCAGCAATAGAAATAGAACAAGAAATGAGATTGCAGGGATATCTATAACTATATCGATGAACACTCTGAAGTCCGATATTCCACTACTCTCTGATACATGTATGTTTAATACAAAATGTTTTCAGTTTTCAGATCCAACCAGATTTGTAAGCATACATAAATGCAACAATACGCTTTAATAAGCGAGTGTGAAGGCTTAATATGGGAGGAATTTATTTTAGATAAATGACATACGTGTAGGGAGTAGACCGTTTTCACTTTGGTGAAACCCACGATCACAGATATAGTGATGAAAAAGGATCATGACGGGCAATTACGGTATTGGAACCAACGATGAGTGGATCCTGGCAAGGCTAAGTGCAACGCTGTTCAGCGAATTGGTGTCCCTCAGACCTCACGCCACGCGGCCTTCCCTATATAGATACTCGTTGATTCTATGTCGCTAGGGGCAAACTTTGCTACCGTATACATGCAGACACAAAGCCTTGGACTTACATGTGGCCAGGCTGACAATCAGTCCCACCACGACGGCAATGACACATCCAATCAGACCATAATCTTGGTAGGAGATGTCGTACACGGTGCCTTTAGGGTCGATGGTGGTAACGTCACTACAGAAAAGAAGAATTGGAAAATTAATATAAAAACTTCTTGTTTTCATAATTATCTGTACGATTTAAAGGCTTAAGTATTACGATTGGTTTGAAAGCACTTGCTTTCCTTTTCTTCGAAAGTTAATATATCTGCTGCAGCTTAATAAGGCTGAAAATTTACCTCATGTATATTTATGTAGGCCTTTAACATTCTTTTTTACATTAAAACTTTCATTGGCAACTGCCTAATGTTTGTCCATGAAAACGTTATTTCCCATAAAGTATTGCCCCTATAGTGCCATGCACAGTACATTAAAAGAAAATGTTGAATGAATCGTCTGAAATAAACCTATGGCGAGAGAGGAGTTCACCGCGACCCTAACACTAAGGGGAGATAACTCTAGAAATAGCTTCATGTGTATGCTTCATCTGGATAATGGCTGAAATGCGAGAGGTAACGGCACATTACTGGTGACTCTTCTTTAATGTATTTAATTCAGGAGACTACAGTACGATATCAAGATGTGGGACAAACGTCCCACTACACTCTATTGGTTGTAACATGGTAAGAATGACCTGTCTATGGTATATGGAAAAATGACCACATATTCTACTTCCAACAGAAAATTCATCAGATGTCTCGGGAACCAGAGGGGCTTGTAACGCCAAAAATAACAGCTATAAGATATAATATATGGTCACACCTAGTGTCAGTATACCATATAAAAGAAAAAGGGTGTAACGAAGCCAACTCACCAAGTTCCTTTGAGGACGAATATAACAATGTCCACTGTAAATACCCTTTTAAACTCCATACTTTGGGAGCTAGCGTCTTCAGAAGTTCATATATCGTGATGTCTGGCTTCCGAGCTAAAATACCTGCTCAGAATTTCCGATGTTTGGTATATTGGCGCCGGTACACAAATAACACCCCGCCAAAACACACTGAATCGATGGCACCTTTCGGCCCGCCTATCGTCATTCTTTCCGCGACACACATATTGACTCCGAACCGACCAGTCTTTGTTTTATCCTCTTAAAAGTCGTGCCATTCATTAAGCTGACGATTTAGAGGAGAAAAATACTTCGTGAATATTTTATTTATAGCCAATCAGATCGCTGGCGTTATTTTTCAGTGCTGGTTATGTCAAGGCCAAGGTCGTCTATGGCGGAAGGGGCACGGCAAAGTACTTATTGAGACGAATACATGTACGTAAACTCATTATACATCAGGTTAATTCGCCCGACCATACAAAATTAAGACGTTTTGAACCAGACCGATTTTACTTTATACGTTTTTTTCAGGTTTAAAGAATACATGTATTTCTTGAATTATGTTTAAAACAATACAAATAAAGACGTTATCTGGTAACATCTTTAGAAGACTTTTAGAAATCATGTTTTCGTCTTATATGTGAGGACAATACACTTAGGGACCTGTCGTGCTGATATCACTTTACGTAATGCCAAAATAGGGTACCCTGTTTAAACTGATTGACACCACTTTGTCCATGTGGAAGCGACCATACATTACCTTAACGACAGTGTGCTTGTGATGGTTGGTGGTGTCGTCGTGTATGATGAATTCGAAGTGAGGATGTCACATGAGTTTCCAGGGGCCGGGGGTAGTGGGACGGGTGGGTGACCGTACAATGTTGCCCCTACAGTCAACCATAGATTCATGGCTAAGGACACCAGCACTCCAGCAATGGCTCCCTACAAGAACATGTAGTATGTCATGTAAACATGTTAGCTACATCGATAAAAAGCTTTCTAAATTTTCATTGGAAGTCACATGTACTTATTGTTTACTTTTCGCAGTGGTCTAGTACTACACTACGACGGAAAAGTCATTTACTTTATTTCGCAAAATTTCCGCAGAATGTTTGTAAAACATTTTCGTAGCTATGCGGGGACAACGCAGAATTTTTGTAAAACTATTGCGCAGCTACGTGGGGACTACGCAGAATGTTTGTAAAATGTCTGCGTAGCTACGCAAAAACTCCGCGGAGCTACAGGGGAGTGTCTGCGAAAATAGTTGCCCCTTTTATTGGACCAACTAGTTTTATGATCCCCGGGCGTCGGTACAAGCGTGTTGTTGGAAAACAAGTTAAACAGCTACATCCTATATGGTCACTGTTTTTCAATATTCATATTCTAATTTCATTCATAATACCACACCATTATAGTACTCCTTGAAACTTTACAATGACTTCAAATGTTAAGTACAATAGATTGAACGAGAACAAATGATAATGCATTGTACAAAGAAAGACTGTGTCTGTGATCTTGCAGATTTAGACTCATAATGTGCTCATTCGAATTAGGGACAAGACTAACTGATTATTATAAATATGTATTATCGAGTTACGAGTGTACACTATAAAAATGTATTTACTTTGACGTCGTTTATACGACCTTTGACCTTCGCGAGCGAGTTGAATAGTCTAGGTCCATAGGAGTGAGTGAGTGAGTGAGCATGGTTTTACGCCGCTTTTAGACATTTTTCCAGCAATATCACGGCGGGGGACACCAGAAATGGGCATCACACATTGTACCCATGTCGGGACTCGAACTCGGGTCTTCGGCGTGATGAGCGAACGCTTTAACCACCAGGCTACCCGACCGCCCCCTAGGTCCATAGGAGCGAAATGTAGAACGGGTATATAAGTTTTTGAATTTGGTAAAATACTCGTAGGTTTGTGAATATGATTATAAAACGACTTTCATTTCAGTTCCTTTCATTCAAGTGTCTTCGGAAATTAAATAATGCTTGAAAAAAAGGGTTGACTTGATGAGAGATCTGACGTCAGCCACCTGAGACTGTACACAGTTGCATTGATTACAGCATACATGTAGGCTCTTTGTTCAAACAGGAAGATACAGGAAATGATATGAAACAATTATCTGTGTACTACATGTTATTACACGTTTGGATGTTATCATATTCAGGTCTCCGCATAAAGATTCAGAGTAACAAAACATTTTCAACAAGACTGTATTACAAGAGGGATGACTTCAACGTTCACATAATCAACTTTCTCTCATGTCTCTCAATATTCCACCAGCTCCAGCCCTTGGTATCTACATTTAAGACATGAAGCGGTACAATTGAGCATGCCATTTCTACGAATTACGCATTCTACGAAGAGAGAGGCCTGTTTCAAGACAATAGACAGTTGTACATTCTGACAAAAGACATGAAAAATTATGTACATTCTTGAGTGCACTTACATTAATTCTAGTACCTGTTAATTATTGCTGCTGCCAACTACTGACCTGTTGTATTGCCCTGTTTATTGTATACCTACAACTCTGTCTTTCGATATATAATATTTACTGATTTTACAATTTAGTTTTGGGAACCGATTTCTGTTTTAAATGTTGCGTTTTAATTTGGAAATCACTTCATGATAGTGGACTTGTTGAATATGTCGTACACCTTATGCTAATGGGCGGATGCCACTCACTATGTACTAATTATCATAACGCTGAGGCTTCTCTTCTTTTTATACTAAGCCTTGCATATGAACGCATATGAAGCCATGCCTTTCTCGCATCATTTTTCATTAATGCAATCCACAAAAGGTTTGTCTTCGAAACAATAACACCTTATCTGATTCTTTCTTCTGTAATGTTGGGGTAAGACAAGGATGTATTCTTAGTCCATTTCTGTTTTCGTTTTCATAAATAAGTTTTTTCGCTACAAATATACGAAACTTGTAAGGTGGGCATCCAACTACACCCGGAAACTATTAAACATTTTCTAATTCTTTTTGCTGATGATATAGTTGTGCTCTCGAGCACAGTACCTGGACTTCAAAAGTTAATAAATGAACCTGAGTACTATTGTAATAAATGAAACCTGAATGCCAATATCAATAAGTCAAAGGTTTATAGTTATAAAAAATGGAGGGAAATTATCAAAAGGAGAGAAACGGTTCTTTAAGGTGAAAAACGTGAGGTTGTAGGAAGTTAAAAATATTTGGATGTACATAGTACAACTCGAATTACTTGGTCATTGCATTGTGACAAAGCCTAAAGCCCCTTGGGCACATGTATTTAGCTGTGACACTCTTTTAAGACACCAAGATTAACCCTGTTCTACTCTATGGGCTGAAGTAAGGGGTCTAGAAAACTATTATACAATAGGGAAGGTACATCTATATGCATGTGGAAGTTTTACGCGTAAATACCAACGCTCTAAATGTCACAGTTTATGGGGAATATTCGAGAACCCCGATGTATATATTTAGTTACATAAAGTAATAAAATTCCCAAAGAAATGCTATAACATGATGATTCTTTACGATAGTAGAGGTAAAATAACTGGGTCTTGGGTGTCAAAAAGATACTACAATCTTTGGGATATGATTACATTTGAAGAGTAACAACATGTTTTGTTTGTTGTTTAACGCCGCATGCAACAATATTTCAGCTATATTACGGCGGTCTGTAAATAATCGAGTCTAGACCAGACAATCCAGTGATTAATATCATGAGCATCGATACACACAATTGGGAAACGATGACATGTATCAACCAAGTCAACGGGACTGTCCACCCGATCCCGTTAATCGCATCTGACGACAAGCACAGTCGCCTTTAACGGCATGCATGGGACCTATTCTACCCCGGATCTTCACGGTTCATGTAACAGCACCAGATCATTTCATATATAATTGAAGACAAAGGCTAAGTGATATGTATTTTCAAAAGTGGTACTCTTCACTGTGTTTACTCAATAAGCTCAATTATTACTGCTGTTTTATATCATTTATTCCTTCTAAAAAAGATCTTTTGGGCATAAATGTTATCCCTTTTCAGATGTAGCTCTCATGACCTTCTATTAGCAAAAGGTAGACATTTAGGGATATCATCTCAAACTCAAACAGTCACAAAGTATCTTGCAATGTATATCTATACCATGCAATGAAAATCCTCCACATTTTAGATGTGATAGGTCTATGTCCTCAGTACTGTCAATATAGATTGAAAAAGATGACAGTGATACTCATCTTGTAGTGAATACTTACATACGTCTAACCGTATACTACCTACAATTTTATTTGTCCATGGAAAGAGCGCCCCTAGGAAAAACGTTCCAACTATAGGTCCGCCGCACGCTCCCAAAAGGGCAATCGCTGTCTGTACAACATATTTCAAAGAACATACGTTAGTTTCAGTGAAGGCAACAAAGGCAGGAAACACAAACGTCATTATCATTATATTAGACCAACAACTTGTCTCTGAAATGAACATATTTTACAGATAAAAACAGTTAAATTTTCGTTATGAAAATAAATACAAAGGAGCCCAGAGACTCGCCACTTTTTTTTCATTTCTTGATACTGCAGTAATCTAGACTTGCCAAATATTTTATACTTGCATGGATATATTGGATATATTTGTTTCAGGGTTTGTATGACTATCATCATTTTTCCTTGTGTGAATATTTATGGTCGGGTCAGTTGCCTTTACAAACTATCGAAAATAGAGGGAGTACGACTTACCTGTATGATTGTACCAGGTAACTCCTTTAACAGGAAAGCCATACCTATACAGATGCCACCATAAAACCACACTGAAAGTAAAATATTGTGTACAGACGTTTTTCCCTAAACGTCCTTTACAGGACATCCGGTGTCGGCATATTGCGCGATCTAAACTAAGTGGCAAACAAAACTACACCTCTAAGTTGATTTTATCATGTGTTTGATTTTCAACTGAAAATATTTTAATTGAAGATATTATATTATGTCCCCAAAATTAACTTTACTGGTGCTTAGTCGGCACTCAAAGAATACTTATACATGGTCTTAAGTTTTAAAACATAATTTAATTTAAAACTTTCAAAAATAAAAACAAAAATTCGCGTAATACATGATGAGTATCTTAGACATCATATATCTGAAAATGAAAAAAATGTTTTTTTCGACACAAATTTACAACACATCATCGACAACGTGGTAGGGGCATGTGGTTGCAAATTCCATTTGGACCCTAATCTTCGCTGAACCAATTTATTTTACACAAAATTACCCGGCCACAGATTACTTTTCACAAAGTGTTTCAGGAATGAGCGATTTTTAAAGAGACAAAATGAAATTTAACAACAGTTTGTTCAATTTTCAATAATAAAAAAAAAAAACTCGCTATATATACTCGGCTAGCCTCTCAGTTTATATCACAAAACCAGGCAGCAGTGGACCGGAACGACAGAGACACTCTGACATTTCCACCGGGTAACTTGGTGGTCAGCTTGTAAAGTACTACATGTATGTGACTTTTAATGCATGTCAACCATCGAACAATTTCTAATACGATATCTTTCCGAGTGCTAGCATACTCTCAATGGTCGCCACTGATACCACCACGCATTTTGTTCTTCACTGGTCCATATACTTTATTGTCAATTTAATGACCACACAGGGCACAATAAACATGAAGGACATTGGATCATCTATTTTACCTGCTAGTTTTGCTGTGAGCAGCTTGACTGATTCCGATGTCCCACATTTCTCAAATGGGCGTCTCAGCACGTCTTCTATGGTGTTGGCAGCAAGGCCGTTCGTGATTGATGATATCGTACTGATGTGAAAGGAGCATGCATATCAACCTCATGCCATGTGTGTTGTTAAACAATTGTATATAGTCAGATCACATTAATATTAAACCTGTTGTAAATTATAATCTGTGATATATTGCTAGTTGTTGTACTGTCCTTCGGGGACAGGTTTTTATATATAATATAAATGTTTATCTTGTTCAAGTCACGATATGGCTGAAATAGTGCCGATGTGACTTTAAATATTAACTCACTCACTAAACCTGTTGTATCTCGTTTTATCCTATAGTACTGGACGAGCCTCTTTGAGAACTATTCAGCCATATCTGAGCCGGAGAGCACACAGGATAAAGCCAACACATTGTGCACTTTGTGGACAACGCTTTAACAACAAGACTTCACAGTTGCCCTGTACAAAGGTGCTCACAACCTCGTAAGTTTGAGGGTTTGTTTTGATCCATTCCCTTGTAGGCGTTGTGTCTCGTATAAGTTGTTTATGGAATCGCGACCTTACTGGAGACACCTGTGTAAATATATCACGCCAGATTGTACACTTGTAACCATTCGTAGTTTATAAGTGACACAATATAACCTTAATGTGCATGTATATATATAAGATAGCTCCGCGATAAATCGTAATGACTAATAAAAAATATACGATACAACATTGTCCTAAAATGACGTTATTTTAGGTGATTCGAATATGTCCTCGCAAGGGAAGTGTCTTATTTGTCTCCAAAGATGTAGCTGGGCATTGCAGATAAACGCAATGGCCAAGGTTCGCGTACAAAAGTGGTATAATGAAAATCGGTATTGGGAGACAGGGAAAAGATAATTGACGGGAAAATATTAGGGAAAATACCAAACTTAACACACCTGTTCAAATAATAGAGTTGTCCTACATTGCCGGGGTTGTATTTTTGGAGTCATCATCAATTAGATATTGGTAAATATTTTTAAAGCTTGTACATTTTATTAACATCCTAAAAGAGGCTTTACATAATGCTGAGTTCACATATAAAAAAAAAACGACTCATGGTCGTTGTTTATCCTACAATGAAACACTGATTTAATTGTACGACAAACAACTCCCGCTCGTCGTTTATTTCTTAAATATACGTACCTGAGAGCGCCACTGAAGATTGTTGCCAGGTAGATTCCTGACATCCCTGGGAAATCTTCAAATATTTTCATAACAAAATAGGGCATCAACTGAAACCAATTCAGACGGGAAAAGAAGATTTAATTACTAGTTACTCTTAGAATTATGTATTATATCTGCTGCCAGAATAGATACAAACCATGAACTACTGAGAAGCTGTAAACAAAAACAAACGTCCGGATTTTCGTAGTGATGAATCTGTGTAAGGAGTCCTCATGCTTTATCATAAATACAAGCGTTCCCCTAAACAATCTTAAACAGTTTAGCAATTACCGGAGTTTTCACTTTAGTAGCTAATGTATTCAACTGGCGTTTGTGGATTTTGAATTTGAAATTTTCAGTGAACTCACCTGATTTCTATTGGTTAGATGACCGGCTTCGAAGGGGTCACACCCAATCGTCGCAAAGTAACTGTAAGCTACGATTCCCATGAAGCACACGCATATAATGTAGAAGCTTACTACAAATATGTTAACAGCGTACACACTGAAATAGAAGAATATGATACAAGCTGATACCTGTCCCAAGTTTGAGTACCATATATATGTACTGAACCGCAAAAGAAACGTCACCCCAAGTAACATTGCATGAAAAGTTGTCATTTAAATATCTGGGTAATGTTTGTCAAAGTTTCTAAAATTAAACATTACCTTGTCCGGAAAAATAAAATTTGATGATAAAAAACAAAGCAGATGACAATAAAACCGATCGCCCAAACGCATCACGGCAATGGCCATGGTAACCCGATGCACGTGAGTTCCGTGCAAATTGAAATGCACCTGCGGTATATAAATTTTGAATATAATAATTCTTACATTTGAGCTCCGGACATTTTCGGTATCGCACAGATCCTCTGAATGGCTGACTGGTCGAATGTGAAGGCAAAGAACGTAAACAGTCCACCCACAATCAGAGACCAGAAGGAATGGCGGACCCGGGGGTCGGGGTCGAAGCTGCAACCAGTCATAGCTGAATTAGGTGGGTTTGAGAACAAAATTTAGTGCACGGTCGGTGCTGACCGTTACACTAGCGAGCACGGGGGTGGTTCTTACATACCAGAGTATATTTAATCAGGACGAATGTGGGACTCGAACCTACATCCAAACAAAGGTAGGGGTTATAACTCTGTACTGTATTTCTACAGTGAACAGGTTCATAATCAACATGAAGAATAAAGGCTCATATCAGCAATTCCACAGTAAACGGATTCATAATCAACATTAAGAATAAAGGTTCTAATTATCAATTCCATAGCCAAACAAGTTCTTAATTACAAATGTCGGGATCTACATGCTTTGCTCGAAGTTTGTTTTGCTTTTCCTCAACGTTTTTAGCTCTCTCGAACTAGTATTAAATGATTTTCTGAGCTATGTATCAAACTGATGGGCAAACGAAGGTATAACCTTGAAATATAACAAAAATACAAACGTCATCAAAGTCTAACTCGGCTGAAGACAGTCGCCGAAACACTGTAAACTTAGGTCGAAAAACACAACTATGATATCAAATACATAACTATCGAATAACCATTGTTTGTTGTTGGTTGGTATGTTTCATGTTTAGTCACCACCAAACAGGCGTATGCTTAATTTGACCATTAGCTTATAATAACTGGTTGATTTAATCTGCTTTGCTGACAAGTTTTGTTTTTAAACATGTAACCCCGTGACAATATATATGTATATTTGAGATGATTATGGAATACACGATTTTTACCCACTGGCTCCCAGGAAAACTAAGATAAAAGGTCATTGTATGTAAATGTAAGCACAATATCCTTTCCATGATCATAAGAAATCTCTGCTAAAAGCAGATCTAGAGTCCATCGTAGGATTCCGACACATTATAAGGATGTGCTTATGAATCACTATCAAATAGTGATGATGCCAGGTGTTCGCAAAGAGGTGAGCGTATGCTTACTTGACAGGCGGAATCCTGCCTCCCTCCTTGGCCAACTCCCATGTTGTGGCTAGACCTCCAACTTCGTGAACACCCTGCGAATATAAAGGTCAACATACACAACACATCATTCCATTAAAACTGAGAACATGTGATTTCATCACTGGCATCGTCGCTGTGGGTGTGTTACCGTTTTATATTTTCTTATCTATTAATAAAATAAGTACATGTATAATTATAATGTGTTTTCAATCTGAAGCAATGTTACCAGTAGATGTGGCCGTTGAATTGAATTTGAAATTTGCACTGTAATCTTTCAAATGTAGCTTTGGACCCGTGAGGACTCCGGGGTAGAATAGGTCTTCAGCGACCCATGCTTGCCGTAAAAGGTGACTATGCTTGTCGTAAAAGGCGACTGACGGGATCGGGTGGTCAGGCTCGCTGACTTGGTTGATGCATGTCATCGATCCCAATTGCGTGGATCGATGCTCATGATATTAATCACTGGATTGCCTGGTCCAGACTCGATTATTTACAGACCGCCGTCATATAGCTGGAATATTGCTGAGTGCGGCGTTAAACAACAAACCAAACAACCAACAACCAACAAATGTAGCTTTGAAAATTGGCTAATATACTATTCACGATGTCTCACCTTTACGAGGACGATAAATATACCAAACATGATGATGGCTGCCTGGAAGACATCAACGAGGACCACCCCTCGGATACCGCCCTGTTGATATGAATGTAAAATATGTGTTTTATACATAATTTCTGGTGTCCCCGCAGTGATATTTGCTAAAATATTGCTTAAAGCGGCGAAGACCACACTCACTCACTCACTCACTCATTCACTCACTAAGGGACATGTGTACATATCTAGCACATATGTAGCGCATATCTAAGGGCGCCTGATTGTCATTAGATCTTGAAATTAGAAACATCAAAGACAAATGTATTTCAAAATGTATTGCAAAGAAAACGAATAGTAACGTGAAAACGAAAAGAGATGGTTACCTTTGTCGAGACTTGATTCACAGTTTGTATGAAACAACAGCGCATAGAGCGCTTTTAATATGTCAATGCATGTTTCCACCTTGACGTTATCTGTCATACTGAAAGCATGCGTTGATGTTTAATTGTATAAAACAATGCCCTCCAACCTGTGTACCTTGGCTTTGGTTCTAAATAAATGTATTACGAAACATAGCACAGCACAAACTTATCATAGCATAGTATAATGCGGGCCAAATGACTTGAGAACCCACGTGTAATTTCAGAGTGAATATTTCATTGAACGCGAATATATAAGACTGGTGACTTTAAATCTATCCTCTGTATGATACCATGAGATATGTATTTGTTTGTTTGTATTTTAACGCCACACTCGGCAATATTCCAGCTATATGACGGCGGTCTGTAAATAATCGAGTCTGGACCAGACAATCCAGTGATTGACATCACGAGCATCGATCAAGCAATTAGGATACAATAATATGCATCAACCAGGTCAGCGAGCCTGACCACCGATCCCCTCAGTCGCTAATTACAACATGAATGGGTTGCTGAAGACCAGTTCCCTTTTTCCCCGCCGGTTGGGTTCAGGACAACTCTGTATGGCTTCTTGATATCGCTATAATAGTGCTTACCGCGTTCATTCACGCACCGTTGTAAACTCACAATTGAAGTGTACGTGGTCCCAACTAATCCAACAATGACGACAGACACCCAAAACGGTAGACCAGTAGCTGGGAACAGAACACAAACGAAATATCAATTTACTAACTATTAAGATTTGACAGCAGTCTAACATGCACAAGCTCAGAAAATACGCTTAATTCTTTTTCTATACCCAAATATATTTCCTTTGTCATTAGTGTTTATATTACTGTTGTCAATTTGTACTACATGATCAGTGAAGTTCAGTGCAGCATATTGCAGCTATTTCGCCTTTTACGACAACATGGGATATTGTAAAGCACCGGTGGGATTCATGCATCTGACCTATCGAGATCCCATATTGGTATTGGCTTGTGGCTCCTTCAATCAAGTTGTGTATATCAATAAAGGATTTTTGGAGGGGTGTTGGGAAATGGACTTGCTCTGCGTTCAGCAGACATCTGCCCTTTTGAATATAAATAAAAGCGACAAAACTATTTCCATAAGTATAAGAAATCTGAGCTGAAAACAGAATCCATTGTACCATTCAGACTATATCATAAGCCTGTGGTTATGAGTCACTATGAATGAGTGGTATCAGGTGTTGGGGCAAACGTGAACTTTGTTCACTTCAATGAAATACGTTTGCTTCAATACAGACTCATTCAAGCCTTTTCGGTGGCTGAACCCTACCCCTTGTCTCCGTAGAGTTGAAATAACAATGGGGAGTAGACTATAATAATACCGTTTATTCCTTTTCAGTAAGCGCTGGTCATTGGAATTGAGGTGTTCTTCGATTCTCATACTAAAATCACTAAGCCAATGCCCACTTGAACGGAACACTACCACCGTCATAAATAGACAGTTGCAGGTTTCTTACCTGTCTGTATTGATACTGCAGGTGACAGCAGAACAACGGCGGTGAAAACGATCTAGAAATATACACAGGTGATACAAATTCTGTGAATGTTCGTTCGGCAAATCAATAGAGAGTACAACTGGCATCACAACGTGCATGTCTTCATAGTCTTCGAAGAGGGAAGTATATAAGGAAATAACTAGTTCCATCCAATTATCGGTTACGGATTTTATAAGGCAGTATGAGATGAAATTTTGGATAATGATGAACATTGTGTTGTTTGATTTATTACGCCCAAACCAGTGGAAAACATTTCTAATAATGAGATGACATGTTACGAATAAACGTCATCTTGCTGGCCTACAACATGTACCTGGCTTCATTTGATTACCTGTTCATTGAGGTATGTGTGCTACCGATTATTTCATTTCCATATAAATGAACACGGCCCGGATTATTGATATAACAAAGTAATCTACTATCTTGGATAACCTTCAGGATTCATGACGTATGGTGTTGTGTTCAAAGGAAAGAGTATACTATACATCTTTCGTGAAAAAGGCAAATATAAAGTTGGACAATCTTTGAAATATTTTGTGAAAGGTTTCAAGCTCGTTAATACGCCTAACAACTGACACTGTTTTATTTCCATCAATTTGTTCTATAGAATCTGACTTACTTTCTGAAACATCCCGATGACTGTCACCAAGAGCCGGAGCAGGGGAGACTGGAAGCGCAGGTGGAAATACTGCCGTGCAAAGACGGGCATGGTTATTGCACAGTTGTAAATGTAATAGTTACCGGTAGTGCAGGACATGCTTACAATGTTCGCCGACATCATTGCTTTTTAGTGATCCATTCATTAATTCATGTTCACTGGTTTGCCTTTCAAAAATAAAATAAAATATGTTTCGGCAGATAATCGAGACTGGTTATCCTCTAGTTTATATATCATCTGGTATATATTTATCAGTTTGGAATTAACGAATAGACATTGCTTTACGCCGCTTATGAAATGGAAATGGCAAAATAGATTACACAAGAAAGAAAACACATGCAGTGAAAACTAGTGATTCCTTATGACGTCATTTTCAATCCCATCGCCTCATACCCACACATCCCACCACTCTCCACCACACTGTCTCATATCCTATCTACCAAACCATCTCTTATCCCACCACCACAAAATCTCATATACAAACCAAGCACACTTCCCAACACACCACCATACCATATCTCACCCAGCACACTTTTCACCACCACCCCATCTCATATCCAAACTACAACACCATCTCATATCCCACCCGCCAGATATATCCCACTACACCATCTAAGATCCAACCAACGACACTGCTCTACAAGCCACTATCTCATATCCAACCAGAAACCTCACCCTCCACCTCACAATCTCATGTACAACCAAGCACAATTCCCTATACATCACCATCTCATAGCCCATGCACCCATCACACCGCCGTCTCCCACACAATCTCATATCCCACCCACCACACCATCTCATATCCCAACCGCCAGATATATCCCACTACACCATCTAATATCCAACCAACGACACTGCTCTACAAGCCACTATCTCATATCCAACCAGAAACCTCACCCTCCACCTCACAATCTCATGTACAACCAAGCACAATTCCCTATACATCACCATCTCATAGCCCATGCACCCATCACACCGCCGTCTCCCACACCATCTCATATCATATGGTATATCAACAGGAATTTAACCAATTACGAACAAAATATTATTCTCACAGATCCATTTTTGTAGACGGGTCCAAGAATGATGGCAAAGTGACGTTTTCTCAACAATCCCCGATAATAGTTCAATCTTGCCTACTGATGTCAATGCTATCTTAACAGCTTGACTTAAATAAAAAAATCTTTGTAAAACGTTCATCATCGTTTCAGGCTCATCGCCTTGCCTTCAGGTACTAGTGTCAGTGTCTCGTCGAATCTTCCTATGATCCTAGACATTTTAGAATTTACAATGATCTTTCTACTGGCCAATGTGACATCGTCTTTTTCTGGTTACTAAGTCATGTTGGCAAAGCAGGTAACCCAAGTGATACATATGAGTATTTGTTAAAGGGTGGGGATCCTCCATTTTGTATCCCTTGTGATGAGAGAATCACGGTCAAGCATGTCCTGCTTGACTGCATTCATTTTGCCATCACAAGGGATAACTATTTCAAAGTTTCATTCTTCAAGGATCTTTTTAATCTTAGTTCTCATTTAATCATCGGTTTTTTAAATGAAATTGAATTGTTTCATAAACTTTGAATAATATCTTCTGTATATAATTTGTGTTTTTTAAAATTGGTTGAATAAAATTAATAACTGAGATTGTTAGTGGCTGTATCCTCCAAGGGGGTTGAAGTAGTGTAAAATTATTGTCCCCCTGAGAGGGTATGTAAGACCACGTCCTCCAAAGTATATTTATTTGTACCACACTTTTTATCGTAGCATATGTGTTATTTTAATGTTAGCTAACTTTATCAATAATCGCCAACAGCTGAAGGGATGATGTAAATCCGGCTTGGGTCCATGCAGGTAGCAAAAGTACTGTAAGTCCCCATAGACCCTAGCATGGTGATATCTCTTCAGTGGCTGGCGATCAATAGCTCATTTTTATCTTGGATCGTTTCGTATGATGTTATATTTTTATTGCTATCTACTAGTTTTAAATAAAATCTGTGATAAATCTAGTTATTTTACTGTCCATCGTTGACAGGTTTTTATTCAGTCTAAATATAGGTATTATAAATGTACTTCTCGTCACGATATGGCTGAAATACTGCCGATGTGACGTTAAATATTAACTCATTCACTCACTCACTCACTCACTCACTCACTCACTCACTCATGAGTAAGGATAAGACTCTGGGTCAGCTCTATAAAACTGTATCCGTGTACATGACAGTCCACTCCCGAGTTAGTGCATCCTAATCAATCATCTGTATAAACGCTCCCTCCTATGTCGTATTGGCCACAATCGGTTTGCTCACAAATATCTGCTTCAACAGATGAAGACGAACCTCCTAAGTGTATCATGTTATAGCCCATGTTTTTTAAAGGTCTAAATAAAATCATTATGCTTAAATATGTTTGACAAATTTGCTTCAAAGTATAACTTTGTAGTTAAGGCGCGCTTGTATATATGAAAACATGTTCTCGTCGCTAATGGACGGAAATATGCCGATGCGACGTAAAATTGTAACTCACTCACTGACACCATCTCGTATCCCACCAACCACACCATTTCATACCCAACCTACCACGCCATATCCTACCCTACAATGTACCTACCACACCACCTCATATCCCACCAACCACGCTGCCCTCCACAACACCATCTCATATCCAACCCACCACTCCGCCCTTCACAACTCCACCTCATACCCACCAACCACACTGCCCTCCCCCACACCACCTCATACCCACCAACATACTGCCCTACCACACCACCTCATACCCACCAACCACTCCGCCCTTCACAACTCCACCTCATACCAACCAACAACTCTGCCCCCCCCCCCCCCCCCCCCCCCCACCACACCACCTCATACCCACCAACATACTGCCCTACCACACCACCTCATACCCACCAACACACTGCCCTACCACACCACCTCATACCCACCAACACACTGTCCTCCACCACACCACCTCATACCCACCAACACACTGCCCTACCACACCACCTGATACTCACCAACCACTCTGCCCTCCACCACACCACCTCATACCCACCAACCACTCTGCCCTCCACCACACAACCTCATACCCACCAACACACTGCCCTCCACCACACCATCTCATACCCACCAACATACTGCCCTACCACACCACCTCATACCCACCAACAACTCTGCCCCCCCCCCCCCCCGCCCCCCCCCCCCCCCACCACCACACCACCTCATACCCACCAACATACTGCCCTACCACACCACCTCATACCCACCAACACACTGCCCTCCACCACACCACCTCATACCCACCAACACACTGCCCTCCACCACACCATCTCATACCCACCAACATACTGCCCTACCACACCACCTCATACCCATCAACCACTCTGCCCTCCACCACACAACCTCATACCCACCAACATACTGTCCTCCACCACACCACCCCATACCCACCAACACACTGCCCTACCACACAACCTCATACTCACCAACCACTCTGCCCTCCACCACACCACCTCATACCCACCAACACACTGCCCTCCACCACACCACCTCATACCCACCAACATACTGCCCTCCACCACACCACCTCATACCCACCAACATACTGCCCTCCACCACACCACCTCATACCCACCAACACACTGCCCTACCACACCACCTCATACCCACCAACCACTCTGCCCTCCACCACACAACCTCATACCCACCAACACCCTGCCCTCCACCACACCATCTCATACCCACCAACACACTGCCCTACCACACCACCTCATACCCACCAACACACTGCCCTACCACACCACCTCATACCCACCAACACACTGCCCTACCACACCACCTCATACCCACCAAGCACTCTGCCCTCCACCACACCACCTCATACCCACCGACACACTGCCCTACCACACCACCTCATACCCACCAACCACTCTGCACTACCACACCACCTTATACCCACTAACACACTGCCCTCCACCACACCACCTCATACCCACCAACACACTGCCCTCCAACACACCGCCTCATACCCATCAACACACTGCCCTCCACCACACCACCTCATACCCACCAACACACTGCCCTCCACCACATCGCCTCATACCCACCAAGCACTCTGCCCTCCACCACATCGCCTCATACCCATCAACACACTGCCCTCCACCACACCACCTCATACCCACCAAGCACTCTGCCCTCCACCACATCGCCTCATACCCATCAACACACTGCCCTCCACCACACCACCTCATACCCACCAACACACTGCCCTCCACCACACCACCTCATACCCACCAACACACTGCCCTCCACCACACCACCTCATACCCACCAACACACTGCCCTACCACACCACCTCATACCCACCAACCACACTGCTCTCCACAACACCATCTCATACCAACCAATATACTGCCCTACCACACCACCTCATACCCACCAACATACTGCCCTCCACCACACCACCTCATACCCACCAACACACTGCCCTCCACCACACCACCTCATACCCACCAACATACTGCCCTCCACCACACCACCTCATACCCACCAACACTCTGCCCTCCACCACACCACCTCATACCCACCAACACTCTGCCCTCCACCACACCACCTCATACCCACCAACACACTGCCCTACCACACCACCTCATACCCACCAACCACTCTGCCCTCCACCACACCACCTCATACCCACCAACATACTGCCCCACCACACCACCTCATACCCACCAACCACTCTGCTCTCCACCATACCACCTCATACCCACCAACACACTGACCTACCACACCACCTCATACCCACCAACCACTCTGCTCTCCACCACACCACCTCATACCCACCGACATACTGCCCTACCACACCACCTCATACCCACCAACCACTCTGCCCTCCACCACATCACCATATACCCACGAACCACTCTGCCCTCCCCCACACCACCTCATACCCACCAACACACTGCCCTACCACACCACCTCATACCCACCAACCACTCTGCCCTCCACCACACCACCTCATACCCACCAACCACTCTGCCCTCCATGACACGACATCATATCAATCCCACCACTCTCTCTCATATCCAACCCACCACTCTGCCCTTCACAACTCTTCCTCATACCCACCAACCACTCTGCCCTCCACCACACCAACTCGTACCCACCAACCACTCTGCCCTCCACGACACGACATCATATCAATCCCACCACACTCTTTCATATTCCAACCACCACACCAACTACAACACAACCTCAACCCACCCAACACACCACCATCTCAAAGCCTCATATCCTACCCCAACAACGCTCTCCAACACACCTCATATCCACCCACCATACAACCCCCCGCCACACGTATAGAACAATGAAGGCCACTTACCTCGTACATGCTTGTCACCTGCAGAGTGTGCATGATGGGGACGATAGTGACTATTCCTATTAAATAACTCAAAGCAACAGCGATCACGTGTAGAACAAAAACAAACCCCGTCGTGAACGTCTCCGCTGGCATTCCTATAAGTGACGTTGACGACATGAACGTCACAAACAACGACAACGTAACAGGAATCACATGCAGGTTCCTTCCTCCGAGAAGATATTCTTCTTTAGTATTTCTTTTCCTTCCTTTAATGGCAAAGTAGACACCCATACCCAACGGCACCGCCAACGTTGCTGCAATTACGATGTAATCGACAATGGATAACGTCGGTGGACCAGCCATGTTGAGAGATCGTCACACACAGACAGCAAGGTTGAATGGTAGTTTCTGTCGCCCTACAAAACCCGAAAGGAACATTCACATTCTAAACACAGGGGTGACAGGTTGTTTGGCGTTTTACGTCAAAAATAGTACATCTCTTTTATTTCTCCCTGATTTTCTTGCCTATAATTCCGCACAGACAGAACAAATCAAAGCTTTAAACTCCAGTAGATCTGAAATGACCTTTAAACAGCGACACAACACGCGTGTAAAATAGACAAGGTACATGTATACGTCAGTTAACGGGAAACACGGATGTCCTGTAGGAAGGAAAGGTGTGTCAGCTAGTTGAACAGAGCGAAAGGGAATTTGAATATTCAACGGACCTTATACTCACCGTGACCCAACATTAGAAGTACCGCTGAAACGATTAAATACTTTACAAAATATTTCAATGGGGTACAGTGACCTCTCGGTGAGTCAGTCTACCGGCGAGGTAAAACAACTACCGCATACAAATCTAAATCATGTCGCAACATAAGTGCCATAAGTTTGAACGTGACCAATTTCACCTGAATTCATTAACATAAATTCCTTGTTGGCATGACATGAATACGTCTTTCTTACAGTGACAATAACGGCCAGCACAGACATGTAAAGGATAAACCACAACTCCGAAGCCCGAGGGCTTTTCCCAAGGTTGTACGTTATTTACATTTTCAACCAAACCCGTGAACTGTTTTTGTCATATAAGCTTAGAGATAAGGCGAAACATATCATAATATGTACATGTCTAAAAACTAAACGCCATAATGAAGCTAACACATCTCTATGTTTCATCATACTGCTCAATTGTAATTTGGATATTCTGATGAATTGTTTGCGACAGCATGGACCCTGAAAACACGAAAGAAGATGGAAACCCGTATCCAGGGCAACATATTTACAGTATATTGACGTCATTACTTATGCTTGTTCTAAGAGACCGTCGTCATATAGCTGGAATATTGCTGAGTGCAACAAACCAACAAACTTGGCAACAACCGGCTTTCCGAGCATAAGGTCCCAAGGTTCTTGACAAAGAGTTTGAAGACGCTCTGCCAAGCAAGCTGAGACCATCGCAAGTGAGAAAGAGGAGTTGCTATGGAAACGTGGGATACTGGGTAAACTGACACCATGACAACTGTTGGACATAATATTGTACTTTACAGGTAAGTTGTATTTTTGTGAATCTGTCTTTGACGGTAGTGATATTATTTTTACTGTAAAAACATAAACTTAACTCCATTTTGGGACGACTTTATTTTAGTTTCTGTGTTCCAGGGAAAGTCAGATTTTGACCCCAGTGTTTCTTTTAAAAAAGGGGGAAAATCAAAAAAATTGTAGAAACCTAATAAAGTATGGATTTATATTAGAACATTATTGCATGATCAAAACGATTACGTTAGAAGTATGTTTGTGTGTCTGCATTTCGCGCTGAGGAGAGGAAAGGGGAACGGATCCTTAAGGATGTTCATGAACCCGCAAATAACCGGACCACATGAGGACCAGAATGGTCGACGGTACCTGACTGTAGAAGAATATGTGTCTAAAGTCAACCCTAGTGACTTGACGAATCGGCCGTTCGAGAAGTACAAGTCCTTGTGTTGAGTATCGTGCGAAATAAGCATTACTAATACCGTAGATTTACGAGCCACGGCGAACACTGTCAATCATTTTGGCTTTAAATACTTCGTATACAGAGGGGATTATACGAGCGTCCATGTCATGGTCAAGATACAAGTGCCTAAAATCTGGTATTTTCAGAGCGAGAGCGGAGGTAATCAAATTTACCTTAAAGCGGTGATCAGTTGATTATTGATTTAGATCCGTTATGATATTATTTATGTTCGTATGGTACTGCTTGTACAATGCAAACAAAATGAAAACAAATAAAACAAAAAAAATCATGGTCATTGTTATATTGTCAATGTCCAGAAAATTCATGGTTTCTAGTTTATATTTGTTTGAATGCCCTGGAATTTCTGTAAAATGTCCCCGTGAAATTCTACAGAATGCTCCTGGCATCATCATGATCTATAGAAAGTCCTTGGTTTATTGTATAGAATCTACTCCGGCAGCCCGGAGATGAGGTTATCCGGGGGAAAGAAGAACGTCACTCGAGGTTAATATATTCAGTAACTGTTACTGTATTTGATTTGTGTCACGTGTGTAGTTTCATAATTTCATTCATTGAAATCTCTCATGCATCATACATCTAATATCACATACCTATACGTACATCGTTATCACACACAGTTCCACTTTCATGCTTAGGGAGTAATGTTGTGTGGTATGCAGGGTCATAGATCATTTAGTGGCATTTTTTCGTAGGACATGACGATCGTATCATCTAACTCTTTCACTGATCGTTCGGTTGTTTTACCCGACAGCTAGTACACATGTTTTACACATATATTCAAATATCTTCAAACAACGGCATTCCGAATGTTATCTTATAGGATGTCATGATACGCACCTGCATGCATAATCATGTATTTCAATGGATGTAAGTGTCCTTTTATGTTGCCTTACACATGTAGGGGCCAGGTGAATATAGAATTACGAAGTGTGAACATGACTGAAGCATGTTGTTATTGTGGGAACAAAGAGTCTCTCTCATACCTTGCTCTCTGCACCCATCGACACCTGACACTTCATTGCTGTGCGATCGGACGTTCACCCAGCTGCTCGGTAACGGCATCATTATTTACATTGAGTGAGTGAGTTCGGTTTAATGTTGGAGCAAAGCCAGAAGTGATGCAGGATCAGACGTTTGCCACTTAGGTGTAACCCACGAGCACGGGTATGGTGCTGACAAACCTAGAAACATAATCGGAGTGAACCAGGATTAAAGTACTCACGGAAATGAAAAAAAAAACTGTTTTTTCGATCTGAGATTTTTTAAAAATGCAGTTATTATACAAAATATGTAAATATTCAAACAACTCAATAAGTACTAATTGGGCCTTGGCACAAATACAGCGTATCAAAGGTTTTTATGTCTTTTTAAACGTAAAAGTGTGTAAAAATATGAACAAAACTGACTATTGTGAAACTGAGCATAACCAGGTGTTAGTAGATCAAGGTGAATGTCCATGAACTATGACACCTTGACAACAGGTGAAAACAGGTGCTTGAAACCCACGTGCATGTGATTTGTCAGTGGTTAGTGATTTGTGAGTGGCATTGTGGGATAGTGAATCATCGTCAAAATATCAGAACGTAAAAGTAACATATTCCCTTCTCAAACAACAACCTACATGTCATTATTATTATATACATAAACATAGCTGTTATTTTTATCGTTGTTTTGATAACTTTTTATCCAGGCTAATTTGCATAATGCCTACAGCCTGTTTCTGCCATGTCATGTCAGTTTTATTTTGAATGTTGAAAGTGCCTACAAATTACCTCCTGTAAAGTACATTTTGTATTGAGCACTGAGATAAAACTAGCAAATCAAGACCAGTACTTTTCCAGTTGTTTTGTTATTTCTTATTTACATCTACGGAATGCTTTGTGTCGATTATTAAATCCAGCAAAACAGGTTTTTTTCATTTCCATGAGTACTTTAGTACCCACAATCATAGGCAACTGGCGTGCCCAAGGGAACGCAACTCCTTAGACGACTTGCCCCCCCCCCCCCCCCCCCCCCTTATCTATAGACAAACAGGTGTAAAGAAAGTATAGATTCATGTTTTGGGTGGTTAACCCGAAACAAACAATAAATGGTTACCCGATAGTGGTGTATTTGATACGGGTATCGTGGTTTTGTTTGGACCTCAAGTTTTCAGTGTTTCGGCGACTGTTTTCAGCCTAGTAACGTTTTAATAACGTTTGTAATTTTTGGGTCAAATCCAATTTTTATGTTTATGCTTTAATTTGGCCGGCAGTTGATATTTCAGCATAGAGACCAATGGTCCCAAACTACAATTAATAACATTAGGAGACATGTTCTGTGCATGGAGTAATGAACGTGCACTGTCAAAACAACATTCGACAGCAACTTCAGTTTGTCATAAGTAATTATGTCAGTAAATAAACATATCCCATAAAATGATTTTATACATTTTCCCAAATACAAATTATTGTATATTAATATATTCGTCATTTTTAAAAAATACGAAAACAAGGTATATTCTCTTCAAGTGAATATCTAACCTATGGAATATTTATAAAGGAATAAGATAATGTATATGTGCCGCAAGAGAATGTTGTCTCAATAAATGTCATAATATTAGCTGTTGCTGCAGTAGAACGCCTACGAACTACGGGCGACAGATTAAAGCGTTGTCTCGCGGGATTCGATTCCGAACACTGTGTAAAACCCATTCTGATGTCCTCCGCCGTGATATTGCTGGAATACTGCTTAAAGCGGCGTTAAGCCATGCTCACTCACTTACTCGAACTAAACGCTCACTCCACAAACCGGATCACCTCACCCATGTTATAACTATAAAAGTGCTGTATACACAATGCACGAGAATGCGAGATCACGAGAACGCGAGATTTTGGTCAAATGTCCCTAACAGTGTTCCATACATAACGCCTGATATCAAAGTTTGAAGATTTTTATCTCATTGAAACTGACCAGATTCCAACCGGTGTAAACCATAAGCTGCGACATCTGGGGCAGATAAATGACAAATATGGATTAAAAGATTACCTCACAACTGTAAAGAATACAAGTCACAGAAGGGCCCTTACCAAGCTCCGACTGAGTCTTCACAGCCTGGAAATTGAGAGGGGGAGATACTCCAACACCCCAGTTGAAAATAGGTTCTGTCCGCACTGTGACTGCCATTCCGTGGAGGATGAAGAACACTTCCTGCTTTCATGCCCACTATATACAGACCTTAGGAGAAATCTGATGGCACTGGTAGAAATAGGCGACCCTTCCCAGACCGATAAAACAAACCTCTTAAAACACTTTATGAATCCACCAAAAGAATGGTCAAGTCTTGTTGCCCGGACTATATACCACATGTTCAAGCTGAGGCCATAAGAAAATTCTATTATATGCAATCCAATTAAGTGTACGCTGCCAGCAATAACCTAATATACATAAATGTTTATATGATGTAAATGAAATAATGCCTCTATACAAAATGTACATCATATACATATACCTGTCATATCTATAATTATATACATGTTCATATGTAGATAGTCTGTACCCTGCCCTATGAGGGTGTTCAGTACAATAAAATTCTGTTCTATTCTATTCTATTCTATTCTATTCTAACGCCTTACCAATCAGTGTAATTAGACCGAATCGTTGCTTCACCTGCCTTGACTCGATAATGTTCAGGGCGCCGTCAAAAAACAGCATTCGCGCACCAGTGAAGAAACCAGTCTTGACCCAGTGTGACAGTGTGCCCTTTCACCTTGGTTCTCAAGCTGGTTATATAATGGGCCAGCATGTTGCACGAGGTTTGATAAGGTGAAGGACATATCCTGTCTCAGGCGATGTCTGTGTGAAGGTGGCGGCTTGTGGGAGGTACAGGGAACATGTGTCTGGTTGTTTATGTGATTCATACGTCCTTGAATTCAATATGTTTACAGTCTTTGGAACAGTACACCGCAACGGGCATTTATTATGATACAACACATATTCATGCAATGATCGTTTATCTTGATATTGTGAGGTTGCATTTGGGACAGGCATGATGTACAGTGTATTATGTACATATTCACAGGGGCCGCGGGGTAGCCTTGTGGTTAAAGCGTTCGCTCGTCACGCTGAAGCCCATTTCTGGCGTCGTTAGAAAGTCCATATGATATTGTTGGAATATTGGTAAAAGCGGCGTAAAGTCACCCCCACCCCACCCCCACCCCCACACACCAACAACGCATCCCCCACCACATACACACACACACAAACACAAACACAAACACACACACACACACACACACCAAACCAACCAAACCAACCCCCACCCGGCCACCAACTCTCCTTTCTTTGTATGGACATTTTAACTCATGCTTGTCGCACGAGGCGATCGGGGTGTCAGGCTTGCACTGCATTGTCTGGTCCAGGCTCGATTTTTTACCGACCACCTGCGTATAGCTGTAATATTGATTGGTCCGTCGTTAAACAACAAACAGATTATACACATATCACTACAAAAGTGTTACATACACGTGTCTCTTGTATTTTACAAGCAGGGTAGACGACGAAGATGTGGCTGGCGGTAGTTTGTGTTCTAAACGTATATTGCGTGAGTATCAATCTTCAGTTATCTTGTGTGAGTATCACTCTGTATCCATATTGTGTGAGTATTTATATTTATTTACCTTGTGAGAGTGCGGTGGGGTAGCCTTGTGGTTAAAGCGTTCGCTCGTCACTCCGAAGGCCCGGGTTCGATTCCCAACATGGGTACAATGTGTGAAGCCCATTTCTGTCCCCCGCCGTGATATAGCTGGAATATTACTTAAAGCGGCGTAAAACCATACTCACTCGTATCCCAATTGTGTAGGTCAGTGCTCATGATGTTAATCACTGGATTATCTGGTCATGTCTCGCTTATTAAGAGACCGCCATCATATAGCTGAAATATTGCCGAGTGCTAAACAACAACAACAACAACAACAACAACCAAAGAAACAAAAGCTTTTTATAAAATTCGATGATAACATTTGTTTTTTGCAGTTATCAGTGTTTGCGAAAATTCCAGCTGGCTATATTCTCAAAGGTAGGTCCTCGTTCATCCAAACATAACGAGTTTTGTTAGTATTTTAGATCTCATTTGAAATTATCCCAAACCATAAATTGTAAACTTTCGTTTATGGTATCAAAATATTCATCTGGAGAACACGAGAAGGAAGACATTGAACTTCTCTCCTGTTTTATTTTATGCATAAATGACCATCCATTCAGTACTTGTAACAAATGCTTGACAGTTAAGTTTGCAGCTGACGCAGCGCTGGTCGGATTCATAAAGCAATCTGGGGCGGTCGGGTAGCCTAGTGGTTAAAGCGTTCGCTCGTCACGCCAAAGACCCGGGTTCGATTCCCGACATTGGTACAATATGTGAAGCCCATTTCTGGTGTCCCCCGCCGTGATATTGCTGGAATATTGCTCAAAGCGGCGTAAAACCATACTCACTCACTCACTCATAAAGCAATCTGAAATTAATTATCGCTCTCAAATTTCAAAATTTGTCCAATGGTGCAAGATTAATTTTCCCACTCTAACTGTTAATTGTTATAGATTTCCGAAATTCTGACTGTTGTTGATAACGAAAACATTGATTTTGTTGGACAATATAAAAATCTTAGCATCATTATTGATTCGGAAACTCACTTGGAATGCCAACACGGAACATATTTATAAAAGCTTAAGGGACAAAATTGTACTGCGATTGTATTTTCTTATAGTGTCTTAGGTATTTTAAACTTGATAAAACAATACTCTCTCTCTCTGTGTTTTATAGAACATTTATTGAAAGCATGTTAGTTTTAAGGTCAATTGTTGGTATGGGAGCCTGTCTGTTCAAAATAAATCTAAAATACGTAAAGTATTAAACACAGCAAGTAAGGTCTCAGGACATATTTTAAACAAATCGGCAAAATCTATCAGCAGCAAATTGTCAAACTGTCGCCTAAGATACTAGTACTAAATGACAGTCGCCCAATTCTTCATTCCGAATAACACATTACTATTGCTGTGGATAGACAGACAGACTTTTAAATTCCATTCCTTGTCGGCACTATGATAGTGTTCAATTCTCTACATATTTGTTCCTGTGATTATATTACTAAGTGTCTTATTGTCTTATGTACATATTTTAATGTCATATACATGTGTATTTTCTTTTTTACCATATGTTAGTGCTTATGAACTGTGCAATATGAATTTTCCTTGAGATAAGTCTTTTCTTATCTTATCTTATAATAACCAAAAAAATAATTAATAAAGTTAAAAAAAATAAATGAGATCGAAAACATAATTATACAAATGACATGCATCATCGATATAAACATCAATAGTGTATGTGCTTTATTAGTAGAACTATGTTCTATATGAACAAAAAGTATTCTTTTTTGAGAACACAGGCACAGAAGCTCAAAGCAACCCCTATCTGCAGTCAGGCGTTCGCTGCTCAAGGAAACACACTTGACAGATGACGCAATCTCACTGACAGCAGCCCCGGTTGCCATCAGTTACCAGTCAAACGCCTAGAGCGAGTAGCACCGATACACCTTATACACTCTTGAGTAGATGAATGAATGTAAATACGTCCACGTGACACAATTCCCATAAACACCCACCACATTACGATGTGCTGCAGCCTACATGCAGAGTGAGTGAGTGAGCTGTGTTTAACGCCGCATTAAACAGTATTCCAGTTATATCACGGCGTGTCTGCTTAATGCGAGAGGAAAGCCCGAAGTGATGCAGGTCTTAAGACGTTTACCACTTCGGTGAAACCCACGAGCACGGGTATGGTGCTGACAAACCTAGAAACATAATCGGGTCGAACCGTAATTCGAACCCACAATCATTGGTTTCTGGCGTGCCCAAGGGCCGCAACTCTGCACAGCCCCCACCCGGCTAGGTTTCTTAGGTCGGATAGATTCGAGTTTGCGTGAAAAGAAATGTTTACTTTTCAATCGACATAAGCAACAAGAAATTGAGTCTTTAATGACATAAAGTTAACTGACTGCAGATCATGACGCTTCATTGTTACTATTCCCAGTCACCCCTCACTGTGGGGAACATCCGGATCGTCCCGCCGTGGTTACCATAGTAACCGACCTGAGCGTTGGGGCCAAGGCTGAATGTGCAGAGAGAACTGTACCCTTCAAGACTTCTGACGGTGTCAACTTTAAGCTGCTTGTAGGCTATCCGGGTCACAGTAATCTCCCTTGTGTCTTCAAGGTAACTCGGGCCGGAATTTACGGAGTAATCTCCCTTATGTCTTCAAGATAATTTGGGCCGGAATATGCAGATACGTGTACAACCGTTTTTGATTTGGCTTAGGGTCATTCTTGCTTATAGAATATAAAGTGTTGGTCAAGAGGTCGCATTGGCTACATTTTGGGGGGACTCAGGTAATCACTTTCAGCACTTTCATCCTACCCCGACGTCATTTAATGATGTGGTTAAATTAATCACTTCTTACTTAAAGGTTCGGGATGAGGTGAGATGACGTAAAATGGGGTTCAACGTCGCATTGTCTCACATTTGTAGCGGCGTGCATGCGCGTGTGTGGGGCTGCTTGCACTAGTTAGCCACGCCGAAGACCCGGTTTCTACTACCCACATGGGTACGAAGCACATTTCTTGGCTCCACCGCCGTGATATTACTGGAATATGGCTAAAAGAGGCGTGAAGCTATACTCACTCACTCACATGTACTAGTCCGAACTTACTACGGTTGTAATATAGTGCTATCCCGCTATCCCGATTCCATGCCGCAGTTTTGACATGAATACCCCACTCATACACACTATACTGAATCCGAGCCGAACCAGCCTCTTTCACCCCCTTAATACCGAGGACCGCCTCCTTGGTCTAGTTGCAGAGCGTCGGCCCAGAGAGGAAGGTCGGTGGTTCGATCTCCTGCCGTGTCATACCAAAAGACGTTAAAAGATGGTACATGTTATTGCACTGCCTGGCGCTAGGCATTGAAGGGCTAAAACAAGGACTCTTTGGCTCTGAGTCAGTGTCTTGTGTCTGATTGGAGTCTTTATGTTAAACTGTGGCATGGTATCTCAGTGTGCTAGTACAAGCAGTCACATACACGTGCATGCACGTCGCAATATACATGTAAGTGCAATAATCTTGAGAGCGACGTTAAACCAGATTTCAACTTACCTTAATGCCGAGTAACAACAAGTATCATCTCTTTAACGTCTTTTGGAAAGGGGACCGAACCATCAACCTTCCACTTTTCGGCCAGACGCTCTATCCACTGGACCACGGAGGCGGTCCGATTCGGGTTAGGTTCGTGAAGCCAGTTCTTGGCCACTTGACTGAAATAGGCGAACAATAGTATTCATTCCAGTGGAGAAGGAAAGTTGTCTCAGTCTTCGTCTAACTGACCCGTAAAGATCCGGGGTAGAATAAATCTTCAGCAACCCATGCTTGCCGTAAAACGATACTTGTCGTAAGAGGCGACTAACGGGATCGGGTGGTCAGACCCGCTGACTTGGTTGATGCATGTCATCGTATCCAAAACAAACAAGCAAACATTCGTCTCATTTGCCGTTATTTATTTCGCCGTGCCCGGATCCGCTGATGCTTACTGATTAAGATCCCTGGTTTATTATCACCACAGCCATGATCGATACACGCACTAGTAATCCCGCATTGAGCCTTGCGTTATATGGTTTCAGAAACAGCAGCAAGTGTCGACGTTTGTCGTCAAAGTCTTGGCATCATACGGTGATGTTGGGAGACTGATGCCTCAACAAGAGGAGGTTACCATCACCTGTACCTTTGATGCCAACGCTGCCGGTGACACACAGGCACATAACATCAGCCAGAGGTGAGTCGGCCACTGACACAGCACATAACATCAGCCAGAGGTGAGTCGGCCACTGACACAGGCACATAACACCAGCCAGAGGTGAGTCAGCCACTGACACAGGCACATAACATCAGCCAGAGGTGAGTCGGCCACTGACACAGGCACATAACACCAGCCAGAGGTGAGTCAGCCACTGACACAGGCACATAACATCAGCCACAGGTGAGTCAGCTACTGACACCGGCACATACCATCAGCCAGAGGTGAGTCAGTGACGTTTGTCAAGAATATTTGTGAATATAACTTTAAGGATAGATCCTCACTTTGCTTGACATTTAGCTGCATTATTTCTGAGTAGACAATAAACAAACAGTCCCTGCTTCAAAACCATATTGTCGGCTGCTTACATCTAATGCAGGTCTGAATTATTTGTCATGTGTTGTAGACTTCTTACACCGAAGGAGATCCAAAGTCACATGGGCCAGGGGAGCAACGCAACTTTCACCCTGAGATTGACTGATATCCGTGGCAAGGACCTGGCAAGCAGTGCAGTCCATCTGGGCCGAACAGTTCAGTTGAGGGCATATGCTGTCGGTAGGTCCTGTTACGATTCACTGTTGCGTCCCTTGGGCACGCCATAAACCAATGATTGTGGGTTCGAATCCCGGTTCAGCCGGATTATGTTTCTGAGTTTGTCAGCACCATACCTGTGCAAACGCCTGAGACCTGCATCATTTGGGCTTTCCGCACACATTTAGCTGACACGCCGTGATATATCAGGAATACTGTTCAAAGCGGCGTTAAAACCCATTCACTCACCCCTCTTACGATACAGCCTTGTCAGACTAGAAAGGTCACTTTAAATGCATGATATTGACAAATAAATCAAGCCGTGATAGATTGGTCTCCGCCTCAATTGATGTAACTTAAATTAAGACCTAGAGATCGTTTGTGTTTCTTCAGACTGTTTAATCTAACATTATTTTGTCACTGACATTAGACAGAAACAGATTCCAATTTCACATAATTATGGCATAAGTGAAACAATAAAGGCGAAGGAGGTACCAATATCCCTGTGCAACCAATCTTTAAAGGTTAACCCCTTGGTGAATCAAGGCAAGAAATGGTCCCATGGTCACGAAGTGGATCTGGTGGTCAGACTCGCTGACTTGATGACTGGTTCATTCAGTGTAGAATGTTGTCCTGATGTGAAGTAGCCCATGTGGAATAAAGTCGCAATGAGCAGCCATCTGTGCGGACCGACGTTATACAGCTGGAATATTGCTCCCTGTGGTGTAAAACAGATCTTTCTCATTTGCCCATGCGGAACGAAGTCATAATGAAATGCTGCCCGTTCCGGAAGAGGTCGTAATGATATCCTAATCGCTGAGACACGGTGGCATGCCGTAATGTCGCTGTATAGAGTTACGTCCCCTTAGCTGATCGTAGGTGCGACTCCAATTACTAAAAGTTGTCCAAGTACAACGAAATCGTATTGAGTTGCTATCCATATTGTATTTAGCCGTAATGTGAAGTTGACCATATGGAATGCAGTCATAATGTGAAGTTGTCCGTGTGGAATGTTGTCGTGCTGTGAGGTTGACCATGTTGAATGTTGTCGTGCTGTGAGGTTGACCATGTTGAATGTTGTCGTGCTGTGAGATTGACCATGTTGAATGTTGTCGTGCTGTGAGGTTGACCATGCGGAATGTTGTAATGTGAAGTTGACATTGTAGAATTTTGTCGGAATGTAAAAGTGCTCACGTGGAATGTTATCGAGCGGTGAAGTTGACCATGCGGATTGTAGTCGAGCGGTGAAGTTGACCATGTGGATTGTAGTCGTGCGGTGAAGTTGACCATGTGGATTGTTGTCGAGCGGTGAAGTTGACCATGTGGATTGTAGTCGTGCGATGAAGTTGACCATGTGGATTGTAGTCGTGCGATGAAGTTGACCATGGATTGTAGTCTTGCGGTGAAGTTGACCATGTGGAATGTAGTCGTGCGGTGAAGTTGACCATGTGGATTGTAGTCGTGCGATGAAGTTGACCATGTGGATTGTAGTCGTGCGATGAAGTTGACATTGTGGAATGTAGTTGTGTGATGAAGTTGAACATGTGGATTGTTGTCGAGCGGTGAAATTGACCATGTGGATTGTCGTCTTGCGATGAAGTTGACCATGTTGAATGCTGTGCTGTGAAGTTGACCATGTGGAATGTTGTCGTTATGTAAACTGAAAATTATGCCATTTTTATTCCTTACACTGACTTATCACATGATCCCTGCCGCGTAACTCCAAATGACTGTAAAAGATGGTACTTGTTGTTACCCTACATGGCGCCCCAATCGGTGATTTTGTCGAAAAATATATATTATCTCTGAAGATACTTTTACAAAATATTGTATATGCTTTATACTGTTAACTGTTTTGTTTCCGGACAAGTGCAAATAGACATACACAATTGTGCATGCAAGCCGCTATATAAGTGCAATAATCTTGAACGCGTCGCCTCACCTCGCCTCACCTCACCTCACCTTAGCTCACCTTACTTCACCTTACTTCACCTTACTTCACCTCACCTTACCACTTTTTCCTTTCTTAGGACTGCCTCAGGATTCCAACGTGATGCCGGTATCCTGTGATGCGGTGTCCACCGTCAGCGGGGCACGGTATTCTATCCTCAGAGCAGGGTATGTCAATTATGGGAACCCCTTCACCTTTAATCTCGTTTCTATACCCCAAATTGTTCCTCCGCCATGACATCGCTTGACATGGACTTGACAAGGACTTGACAAGGACTTGACAAGCAATAACAAACGTACAAACTGCCCCCATCCGGCTCGCTGACTTGGTTGATGCATGTCATCGTATACCAATTGCGTGAATCGATGCTCATGATGTCAGTCGCCGGATTGCCTGGTCCACACTCTATAACTTACAGACCGCCGTTATATACATGTAGCTGCAGTATTGCTGAGTGCGTCGTTAAACAACAAACAAACAAACTATGGATACGAACAGCCTTTGTTCAATGTTCGAATCCAAAAACGATGTATGGAATGTTTCTAGAGATGTTATTGTATCCCTATGTGGCTCTTTTTGTGCAAATAAATCATTTTTATTGGATATCAAAAGGATCGGAAGTTACATGAGATGCGCGTCTCTTTTCGAACTTACTCCAGCTCCTTCAGTTGGGCAATTTCAGAGAAGAGGTTTACAGAACCTTCTGTGTGGGAGATTTAAGTATCATGGCCAGTACTGCGAAAAACAGAAACACAAGTGTTGAGGCCTAAATAAATATCAAATGTCATTCCATCCTGTACACAAATGGCTGCGTAATGGCATATAGAAGCCTTTTAATGAGAAGGAGAAAATGCTTACATACGCCGTCGACGGCAGACAAGTAAGTGATGACATAGGCTCACCTCCGTGTTTTAGCCTGGTTTTCTAATAATGCTGTTATCTGGCCTACCAAAGACGTATATACATGTAGCTACATACGTCTTTGTACCTACCAATGAAAACTAGCAGAGAGCAAGTAAAGATCAAAATACTCCACATTGTCAAAGTCACCCAACTCAGTAAATCGCTTTCCATGTTTGTCTTTCCAATGCTAGGTGTGGGGACGGGGTGGTCATCAGTAAGACTGATGGATTCAGCAGCTTCAGCAGCGAGTCAAGAAGTCCATACTTCCAAACCTTCAGGCTGGAGGACGACTCGCAGCTGAGGTATGAGTGTAACTTCACGCTCTCTAAAAGACCCAGCGGCAGTGATTGCCAGGTGAGTTGTTATTGCAAGATAAAATGGTAATATACGTTAAATAAGAATACATACAACTTGTTGATGCTTGCCGTAAAAGACGACTATGTTTGTTGTGAAAGGCGACTGACGGGATCGGGTGGTCAGGCTCGCTGACTTGGTTGATACATGTCATCGGTCCCAATTGCGTGGATCGATGCTCATGATGTTAATCACTGGATTGTCTTGTCCAGACTCGATTATTTACAGACCGCCGTCATAAAGCTGGAATATTGCTGAGTGCGGCGTTTAACAACAAACCAACCAACCAACATACAACTTGTTGGATAACAACTTCTGGTTTATTGCATCTAGCGACTTTTCGGTGTCGATTTAAGTAGTACTCAATCAGCTTGTTGGGATTACACTCTCTAAGTAATGTTCAAATCCTAGTATTTTGGGGTTGTGTCCCAACCGCGGTTTCGAACCCACACTCTTTCAGAGCGAGGCAACTGATAAACAGCACACAAAGTCAGCGATCTGACCCTCTCAGGCCCCGAGGCTTCCACTAAAATGGTCGGCAAATGATAGACTAGATCACGTACTTTGAGTACTCCTCTGACAAAGGCTCTCATGGCCGAAATCTATGAATTCACAATACCTTTTGGAAAGTGGTCAAATGTAAGGTACGTCTTTGCGTCATCCTATTTAACGAAGTGAAGCGGTGTTTTCCTGAACCACTCACTCACTCACTCACTCACTCACTCACTCACTCACTCACTCGAATCACACAGTACTACTTACTCCTATTAACTGGTGATACGTCGTTTAAGTGTGTTCAGCAAACGTGACGCAATCATTATCTTTTCAGATTGCACAATGTTCATGCTGGGGCGCCAACACCAAGTAAAGTATACTGTTACTATTAATTTTCGTATTGTGATCTAATTCTTGTGTTAATATAAAAAAAATAAACTACTTAAAAGAATTTAAAGAACACCCGATCCTTTCACATGACTAGAATTTATCTGTCATGACACGACATTGACTATCGTTATGTGAAAGAATCGGGTGTTCCTTAAGTTCATTTGAGCAGTATACAACTTTTTACTTGAATGTTTTGTGTTTCCCATGACCTGTGCAAGAACATCGGAATTGCACAGATCAGCAATTCCATCATGAGCATCGGTGAACATGAAGGAGATCACAGAGTCCATAAGAGGGTACGTCCTGTACCCGACTGTTGAAAACACACATTCCCTTCATTTCGTGCCAGGATATCTATCTAAGTAACGGATGTTTGTCTTCCTCTCATCGCTATCCTAGTAACGGATGTTTTTCTGCCTGTGATCGCTATCTTTGTTCAAAATGAATGTCACCACAATATCAGCCGTGTCGTGAAATCTCATTGCCACTTAATGCTCTACTTCACTGTCGGCCATGTATGCATCCTTACGCACACTATTAGCCACATATAGACAGTCTCGCAGAGTGTCTTTGTCGATAAGTGTTTAAAGCTCTAACGCTTGCCCCTGAGTTTTAAACATTCAGTGACGATTGTTGATATATTTCATACTAGTATCAAACGACACACAGGTTAGATTCTATTTATCATCCAAAATCGTTTTTCCAACTTGTAAATCGCCGCGAATAGCTGCAGGATTGCTGATGGTTTATATCACGGCTTGTCAGCTTACTGTGGGAGGAAAGCCCGAAATGATGCAGGACTTAGACGTTTACCACTTTGGTGAAAACCACGAGCACTGGTATAGTGCTGACAAACCTAGAAATCAAGGCGAACCTGGATTCGAACCCGTGATCATAGGTTCGTAGCGTACCCAAGGGACGCAACTCTGCAGTGCGAATTGCGGCGCCTCAGAAAAACTTGGCCTCCCGTGCACCTTGTAGAGAGTAAATATTGTCTTGAGTGTAAAAAGTATTGATAACCAGCTTAGTGACGTTATTTGCTTGTGACGTCACAATGGTCTGCGTTGTGATGCAATTTCATTTAAGCGAAATCTTATTAGTACGAATGTCTAGTGTAGTAAAGTACTTGTACATTCTGATGTTTGCCCTAGTTGGTCACCAATGCCCAGTAAGATCGGACTAAATTTAGTTGACTAACTCGCGTTACCTGTGGCTGGGGTAGTTGTATGAAATTCTATCATCACCAAACACCGATCTACCAACACCTGCCTCTTTACCTTTTCGTAAAGGTTAGGACCCGTGAAGATCCGGATTAGAATAGGTCTAATCAGAGGCGACTAACGGGATAGGGTGTTCAGGCTCGAAAATTGCATGGATCGATGCTCATGACATCAATCACTGGATTGCCTCGTCCAGACTCGATTATTTACAGACCGCCGTCATATAGCTGAAATATTGCTGAGTGTGGCGTTAAACAACAAACAAACACAAACACAAAGCTTATCCTTGATCTTTCGAGAAGTGAGTGAATATTAATATTCCAGCAACATCCTAGACGCCTGTAAATAATCCAGCCTTTGCAAGAATTCATTCTAGAGAGAATGAACAAAGATCCATTGTGCGGAAAATAAAATTAACCTAATTTTGACGTTGCAGTAACGCGCAATACGGTGAGTGAGTTAAACACCACTTTGAACATTATTTCAGTTATGATCAACAAACAAACACGCAAACAAACAAAGTAAAGGTTAGAGCGCGAGGACTTAGTCAACTTTTTCATTTTGAATCCGGGCTGTTTCCTACCCGGAATCCTTCGCGATGGTTTTAAAAACTTTGGTAGTGAAATTTTGTTCAAGCATGAAACATATCTAAAACATCTGAAAGTTACAAAGAAACTTGAATGTTGTTGAAGGTATCCGGAAAGTTTCCAGAAAACTGAAACCAAACATTTCATGTTGTGCCGTTTGTTTCCGCCAGCTGCTGCTACACGTGTGAGGACGTTCATGTCGCCTACGACGATCAGTACTGGGAGATGGATGAGGAGTTGATTGCGCAGTGCTCTGGTTCGCCGTGTACGGTGGTAGGTGCACGTGTGTCAAATATATAGACCTCCCATATGAAGGTGCACGTGTGTCAAATACATGGGTGAGGTGAGGTTAAATGGGGTTTAACGTCGCGTTCATGATTATTGCACTTCTATAGCGCGGTGTGTGTGCGTGTGCGTGTGCGTCCACATACACATACATATACACACACATACACACGTACGTACAGAGATACCATGCCGCAGTTTAACATGAATACCCCACACAGACACAGTATACTGACTCCGCCAGACAGGGTAACAAAAAGTACCTTCTTTTAATATGACGCGGCCGGAGATCGAACCCCGGACCTTCCGCTCTCCGGGCGGACGCTCTACCACTAGACCACGGAGGCGGTCTCAAATTCATAGGCCTTTCATATGGTTGGTGCGTGCGCGTTAAATATATAGACCTGTTATATGGATGGTACAATGTAGGTGCGTGTGTGTCAAATGTAGACCTGTAAAATGCTTGGAAACGGGATAACATACGATATATATATATATATGGAGGCTTCGAACAGTAGTTATTAATGATTTTTACATGTTTTTGCATGTTTCAGAATTCATGTCACAATGAGAGAGCCCGCAGAAATACAGCCAAAAACAAGGACTGGTCGTCTCGGAGTAAGTATACTGTGCCTGGGAGCGGGATTCATGTTAAACTGCGGCATGGTATCTCACTGGGCTAACACTATAAAATCGGCAACGCACGCACGCACGCGCTATATGCACGTCGCTATATACGTACAATAATCTTGGACGCGACGTTAAACCCCGTTTCACCTCACAATTGTCTTTCCCAGTCGCAAATGGTGACACTTTGGATGGTGACCAGCATTAGGCCTCTCTCTATAAGTTACTTTAGCCTATCGATAGCTTACTGTGTGAACACGGTTCAGACCTCCCTTGTCACGTGCCATAGTCATCCTTGTAGAGGCTTGATCGTATGATCATCCTTCTTTGCGCACTATTGGATTAATGTCGGGGTCATCCCGGGATTTTATATCTCACTTACAACGGTTTCCCTGAGATATGTATCGTTAGTTCCCATTATTGGGATATGTCAATAGCACTCCATGTCTGTCACCCGACTATGAGGCCCGGATATAAATCTTTGTTCATTCCCTCTATAATGTGTTTTCCTTCCCAGGACTCGATTATTCACAGGCCTCTGCTATGTTACTGGAATATGCACTCACTCCTCGAAATATCAAGGATAAGCTTTGTTTGTTGTTTGTTTGTTGTTTGTTGTTTGTTGTTTGTTTGATGTTTAACGCCGCACATATAGCTGGAAGTTTGCTGAGTTCTGTGTTAAAGAACAAACAAACAATACCCCCGTGGGTTTCACCGAAGTTGTAAACGCCAAAGACTGCGGGTTTCCTCCAACAGTAAGTTGGCACGTCTAACTTAAGTAATTTTCAAAGACATTTCCTCAACTCAATCACTCCCTAAAACTGTTGATTGTTGTCCACTTGCAGGTGATGACATTGCCAGTATTCCTCTGCAGCCGGCGCCGTTATTTACGGTACAAACCACGTAGTAATCGTGGGCTCTCTGGTATGAATGTAGTTTCAGCTATAAAGAATAAAGTGACTTGATATTTTCTTATTTTTTTAGAACCAACTGTAGACTCAATCACTTCACATAACAGTGACATATATTACTCAAAAGAAGTTAAGGAAACTGGGTTCATTCATATCACTTTTCTTCATTTGTCATGGCATGACATTAACTATGGTGATATGAAAGAATCAGGTTGTCCTTAAATTCTTTTGAGTAGTATGTTTATAGCTATAGGATGAGCCCATCACTTCCAGTTTTGTATTGCAGAATTGGCTCAAGCAAGTCAATAATCCCGTGTGTAGGTATTTTCAGGCGCTCTCCAGCGTTGGTTTGTTTGTTGGTTTGTTGCCTTTTACGGCAAGTATGGGTTGCTGAAGACCAATTCTACACAGGATCTTCTCGGCTTGGTAGCATTACCATGTTGCAACATGCAGTCGCAGAGTATTCTTGGAAAGGTTCTTACGCGGGAAGAAAACCGAACGTACACGTAAAAGGTGATGTCAAAAATCACAGCGATTCCCCGAATTCGCAGATAATATTGTATTATATAAGTAAACAGTGATAATATGCCACATATAAGGCCATTAGGTTAACCGAGGAAGAAATCGTCCAAAACCATGCATCAGTACTGTCAACTTTTGACTTGACTCTGAAACCTGAAGACATGCCCATTCCTCTGTTGTACTGGGTTCGCATGACAAACTTCAGGAAATACTTCATTGCTTGATCCATGGAGCTTCTGTATGAAAACGTGGTGGCCTCAGATACAGTTACATAATCTATGTTCAGAGGTTCAGGGCAATTTGTAAAATAATAAAGCAAATGCCGTTTGAACTTTACTTAGAGTGAGTTAGGTTTGACGCCGCTTTTAACAGAATTCCAGTCATATCGCGGCGTGTCGGCTTAATGTGGGAGGAAAGCCCGAACTGATGAAGGTCTCAGACGTTTACCGATTCGGTGAAACCAACGAGCAAGGGTATGGTGCTGACAAACCTAGAAACACAATTGGGGCGAACCGGGATTTAAACCCACACTCATAGGTTTCTGGCGTGCCCAAGGGACACAACTCTGCACAGCGAATTGCGACACTTTAGACGACCGGGCCACCCGTGCCCCCTGTTGGTAACTCACTCACTCACTCACGTTTACCAACAGGGAAACAGGGAAGTAAATGAGTTTTTACCGCCGCAACCAGTAATATTCCAGCTATATCACGATGGTATTTACTGAGTCTGGACAAGACAAAGTAGTGACAGATTATGAAAACTGAACAATTTATACTGAGGTGTCCCACTTAACCCCTTATTGTCGATAAGCATTCATTATCAATATTAGATGTTGGAACGCACTTATTAACACATGTGGAATAAAATATCTGACGACCAAATCTATAATGTCCATAGATACTATATGAGCAATGTAAACTTCACTGATGGCAATACGCCGATGAAAGATTATAATATTATTAGTTTGCATCAATACATCACTTTCCTATAGGATCGATTAGCATAGTAATCGATTGAACTAGATAACTTTGATCCAGAGGATCAACACGGCGCAGATATCGATAGCATACCTACCAATTGATGCAAGTACCTACACTGTCAAAGCGCACATGTGTAACCCAGAAGATAAAACAAGTTGTAATTTGCATGTGGTACCTTCAGAATGAAAGTATGCCACATTTCAATTACATATTTATATAATATAAAAGGAGAAAACAAACGTATTGTGAAAACAAACTGGTACTATGTTTTTACAACAATGAGTGAGTGGGTATGGTTTTACGCCGCTTTTAGCAATATTCCAGCAATATCAAGGCGGGGGACACCAGAAATGGGCTTCACACATTGTACCCATGTCGGGAATCGAACCCGGGTCTTCGGCGTGACGAGCGAACGCTTTAACCATTAGGCTACCCGACCGCCCCTTTACAACAATGACTTCCTGAAACACTTATTATTGTTTTCAAGGAACATGGGGTATTTTGTTGACAAAATCATTCTGGTGTACTTGATACTGTTGACATTGATATATCTACAGTAGTAAAGTTATTAATATTTTTCATAATTAACCTTTTAAAGTAATAGCTACAATGTTGTAATATTATTTTATACCGAAGTAGATCTGCACATGGAGAAAAGCAGGTGTTGTTAAAATTGAAACCCAAAACATTGTGAGTGCGTTTGTTATTTTTAACCATGAACCAAGCTTACCTCCCAAGAAGTAACCTCCCAAGTGGTAATATGTTTACATCTGTAGCTTGACAAGTCAATTATTTAAAATGTTTATTCATGATCATGGCAAGCTGAGAGGCAATACGCCCATAGTTCAACGTATTCACAAGGTATGGGTGTGTCTAACAATAATGCATGATGTATGTAAAATGCAATATTTTGTAATATTGTAATATTTGAGGATGACGAGCATGCAAAACCAATTGATATTTGGATCAGATGTAAACTTCTTTGGAATATACTTGTCTACAGTTTACACACAAGCAAAAAATGATACTCATTTTCTACAACATGAAGGTTACAAGATGTACAGATATTGTTAAACTTTTGAAATATACCTTAATAGACCTTTAAGTCATAATAACCTGCTCTGAATTGTGCTACTGTGACTCGATGATTGTTTTATTGAACAAATATTAAATATTCTTCGAGTATAAATTGTTGTTTGAAGAGAGAATAGGTATATGTCCATTTGCTATTTCTTAGTTTTTCTACCCACATTTGCTGAAAACAATCTTTAGCTCTTTAGGATAATAATGACATAAACATCTTGACATTTCCAACACCCTGATCCATCCATGCGTATCAAAGTCCAAAACTGAAAAGGGTGATTTTGATATTTGTTGCCCAATTATTTTATAGCCTGATTGACTCGCATATTGATCGAGATAGAAAAGCATGTTATAGGCTTTTACTGGGTATCGCGTGGATGAAAGAGTCGTTAGTTTTAACCAATAATTTATACAGCGCTTAAAGGAAAATATATACAATTGGTATCTGCCACATTCCCAAAGTACAATACCATTTGGGGTGGATGATCGAACCCCAATTACGCGTTTACATGCATAAAGATGAACTTTTTCTATACACTAGTATTTTTCATAACCAATATTTCTGATCCATAAAGTAAAATTGGCATCATCTTTGTATCTAAAATTTGAAAGTATAAATTGCAGGGCAGATTGTCATTTTTAACAAACTTTGTAGGATTGACATCAACACTTTCTTAGCTTTAACAGATTAGATTCTAGATATTTATTCCAACTCAGAGTCCTAGTAAACAATGTCCCAAGGTAAGTATAAGATGAAACTACCTCTTTATATGCATCTTTATATATCGATTTCTCTAATTTTGATAATTTCCCACCGCTTTTAAAAACAAGAACTTTAGTTTCATTTAGATTGACGGACAGTGGCCCCTTTTCACAATAATTTTCCAAAATATTGATTTGACGTCGAAGACCAGTTACCGAGTCAGAGAAAAAGGACAACATCGTCAGCAAAAAGTAAAAGGAAATTCTATAATTAGATGTGGATATAACTAGGCCATTTTCTATTTTTAGTTAATTTCAAGAACAAGTTTATTTATGAAAAAAGAGAACACGAATTGGCTTAGTACACAACCCTGACGCACTCCCAAAGTGCATTCAAACATACTTGTAAGGTTATTGCCCTTGGTTCGTATACAAGCTTTAAGTTATTCGTAAATGGCTTTTAATGATTTTTCTTTCTTTGATGCCCACCTATGTTTACCAAATAAGTGCAAGAGTTTTGAGTTTTTTTCGTTTTTACGGCGAAATGGACAAAACGTGCTTTTAATTTACCTCCCCTTTTTTCAGAGATATTTTGCCATTTAAGCTTGTAAGATGAAAACATTGTCCATTGTGGGATATCCAGGTCTAAATCCCGCCTGTTCTTCATAAATATTTCCCATTGCATCTGACCAAAACCTAAATCTGCCATTAAGAATCATGGTATCTAACTTTACAAAACAACTCAGTACAGATATTCCCCGATAGTTATCAACATTATCCTTATCACCCTTTTTATGCAATGGAACAATGATTGCTTTTGACCATTCCGAAGGAAAAACACCTTTATCATATAGAGAATTGAACAATACAAGTAAATATGGAACAAGAATATTATATGAACATTGAAACATTTCACTAATTACAAAATTTGTTCTAGCTGCTTTATTACATTTCAACATATTCTGTTGTATTTCCTCACTGCTAGTAGGGGCATTAAATATATCATCACTGACAGACTTAACCCAATTAGTACCAGTATATTTTCGTATTCAAGGTGTGTGTATCCTCTTCATAACAAGTACAATGGAGCTACATGTATGTCTGGCTCTGGAATAATTGACAGGTGTTTAAAATACTCGTACCAAGTCTCTGAATTTATGTTATTTTTATCCTGAGTAGTACCTGATCAAGCTTGAACATTGTGCCAAAATGTTTTGGAATACTTCATTGAATCTATCAATTCAGATTGACGTTTAATCTCGAAGGAACCTTTCGCATTTCTACATACAGCTTAATACGTATTTCTTGCAGCAAGATAGTGCTGAATAGACACTTTGTCTATATATTTACGAAATACATTGAGATAATGACATCTCTGTTTTTTAAAACATTCACATTTAGCATCATCAATTATTCGTCAATTATTCACACTGTCCAAAAGTGCTGATATCTCGCTACACGGAAACTGGGTCAACGTTTCCCGCATATCGATATGCTATAGGCCTGTTTTCGACCCTCTCGACTTGCCGCAGTCCCCGTGACATTTCTAGACAATTGCTAAAAGCGACGTAAAACCATACTCACTCACTCGACAGGCAGAATCGCGTCACGGAAATAGGTCAACGTTTCACGGCAGCGAAATGCTGTATGCAGAAATTAATCGAATAGCGCTGGTGCCCTGCCCTTCGCCTTCGGGCAGCTGCAGGCGAGGAGCGTCAGCGCTCTAGAACAGGTATACCAGTGTAAGACAGGGCTTTGCTCTCTGTTAT